GATAGTGACGCGGTGGCAAGACACGTGCTCACCGTGCGCAGCGCTCAAGAGCGCCAAATGTCGGATCGGTTCTTGTCAAATACTAAGCCGAGCCTTTTATCTTACTGTAATCGCCATTGGCCACCCGGTCCCGCTGTAAGGATCAAAACACTGAACCTTGTCTTGAGCTTAAGCTCCATCAAAAGCCCTACAACCCTGAATGGAAGGGGAGTGCATGGCGCATCCCAGGAGGGGTTCACCACTGAATGCTTCATCTCTCGTTTTATCACCTGTCTGATTCTAGTGGAATTATGGTTTCTGAAGTCTTCGTCCTAAAAAAAAAGAAAAAAAACTGGCTTTCTGTCGTGGGTCTATCGCAGCGATTTGGGGCATTAGATGGCTGCATGTTTCCAGCCGCGTTAACCATGTCCTTTGGTTAGCACGGCCCTGCTCAGACAAAGGGGGGAGATCTTTCAGGGTGCGTGAAAATCCTGATCCCCTGCTAGGCTCAGTTGTATAGGATGCCCGCGTATCTTGCGAATACGCTTTCGATCTGTGTTAGCCGCACCCATTGTGATGCCCAGGCCGGCCATAGAAGTACGGTTTCACGTCACGCATTTGTGGCCGCCTGAGATCAGCCCTTGAAAAAAACTTTCATCCATGAAAAGGTCTCCAACTCCGTCCTTCCCACGGTATCCTTCTGAACCCAAACGTTGTTTTTACACTTCCTTGCTAGGAGCCGAAGGCCTAGATAAAGCCCTTATATCCGGTCGATCAATCCCCTTACAAGGTGACTGGCTGTATTTTCAGGCAGTACTCACCACATCCACTGAAATTTGTCTTTTTGAGCCTATGAAAGGCCTAGGTCTTGACGTAAAAATCTACTATAGCATGTGACTCCCGGTAGTATGGCGGGCTTGCTCGCCGATAGGCTCTTCCCTTGCACAAGAGTAATGTTGACCGACATTGTAAAAAATCTAGTGGGCGGGATCATGACTAACGGATTCACACAGCACTCACAAGATCCATATGATGAGACATCACCCAAGCCAATCAGGCTTTTCTTCCCATCGTATCGTCCAACTAGTAGAACACCTCCTCAACGGGAACGTATTCGACTTTTACAGTTACTATAGCCTTTATATAGCCCGTTCTGTTCGCACCTGTCACAGCTTCTCAAAAAGTTATGGCTATTGAAGCAACTTCTCAGCAAAGTCATTCGTTATTTACCAAGAAAGAGGAAGAGGGTTGTGTGTGCGCTTCTGGAGGAGGTTCTAGTTGCGTGAAACAGCAAAAATCCTTGATCACAGAGAGACCGAAAATGTGTACAAGTTACAGTTCCAGTAGATATAAAAACTTCCACCGCTACCCAACCACAGCTTTGGAGTTTTCGATGATGCGCGCTTCAACCACCTCCTCCCCCTTTCGCCTTCCTCCCTCCACCTCCTCTCCCGCCCGACTTGATGGCGACATCGTCTTGAGGACACTCTCTGCTCACACCCCGAATTGCACAGCCTAGACGAAGAAGAAATTGATGCCGTCTGGCCATCTACAATTTGTAAACGAAGCTTTTACGAAGAAATTTTTTTTGAAAAATTATAAAATTTTTTTTTTTTTTGGACAAGACTAAATGCACACACACTGAATTCGATTGACCTCCACCTGAATCAGGACAAAGCTACCCACAAAGGTCGCAGATGTGGCGTTTCGTGGCTCTAAAGTGCGCAACCCTGGTATTTGTTTACGAGGCCTCATGATAGATACCGTCGACCGCTCTTTGCTCGCTATGTACCCGTGGGCTGTCTGCGTACCCTCCCCGATATACTCCTCTTCAAACGATCAAAAGTTGTAGGCGGGACGTGCTCCGAATGGCGCGGACGCTTGCGCAGCCAACCTACGATCCTATCCGAGATTGGCCTGGAGACCGCGGAAAAAGAGGACATGGGCTATGTATCGACCTCGGTACTGACCACAGAACTCGGGTGCAGGTCGGTCCTATCGTTGCTACTTTTCGAAAAATTTTTACAACCCCCCTCCCCAAAGGTGGATTTGGTACGACCCCCCTCTCGACCCTCGAACTCCGCCCACTTTTTCCTCCAAAAATGCCGTCGAGCGGGGGGTATATAGTCACTCTGAAACCGTAAAAATTACCTAAAATTCCCTAAATTTCCACCAATTTACCCCCTCCTACCTTTAATCCCACGCTTCATTTTCTAGGGGGGTATATACGCGCGCTGAAACGGCAAATTTTCTCCCGCGCCACTCCTCCCATCATCATGCAACTTCTCACAATCGAAGCAAGTACGACCCCCCCCTCTACAACCTCATCAAAATATACGACCCCCCCTCTACAAACTCGTCAAAATGTACGACCCCCCCTCCAAAAACTCATCAAAGTACGACCCCCCCGTTGCTACTTGTAGCAACGTAGGACCGACCCTGCTCCAGCCTGACTCAGGAACGAACATGCAGTGGGTTCAGGCAGGCCAAGCTGGAGTTTGAGTTTCTTACCTTCTAGCTCAGTTCATTAGTTCCAACCTGTCCAATCCTCGACCTTTTTAAGCCTGTAGGTACAATGGTTAACCTGGTATTTGTAGCTTACATTATATATAGGAAACACGCGAACGACTGTCTGATAACACTCCATCAATTAGCTTTTTCTCGCCCGGTTTTTCGACTACCTGTATGTGACTGGTGATTTAGGGCGTTGACTAGAACTATGTTGGCCTCGAAATCAACTCAATAGCACTGAAAACTAGCCGGGGAAATTAGCGCAAGTTGTAAGAACCTCTGCGAAATTGCCCTTTTGGCCTGATTTCCATGGAGATGATCTCACGACAGTCTGTTCACATACTCTGGCAAACGAACTGTCTCATCTAGCTTGGCCTCTTTCGTCCCACCGTCTACTTTCGCTTCCACAAACTCGTGTCATGTCAGCCCATCACACCAATCAAACGTGTCTTTTTCGCTGATGTATTCTCGTGTTATGCCAAAACGTCTCATGGTTTCATCGAGGTGTCTGGTGGTGATACATTTCGAACCGGTCCTGTATCCTACTTCTTTACTGCTGACTACTTTTGCGCAGATCAAAGCTGACGTGTTCTACGAATTCATCTCTGTACTGGCTTGAAGAACTGCCCATTTCATAGAATATTTCGTACCAGATTAGTCGCCCTGGGGGGGGGGGGGGGGGGGGTGGGGGGGGGGGTCAACCGCCGGGACCTTCCTTTCCTGCGCAAGCTTTCTATCCTCCGCTATGGTCCCTTCCTCCTGTGACACCAACACCTCCTGGAAGTGACGCGTATGCAACACAATGGTGTTTCATACAGTAGAAGGGACACAATCATGATATGACGGTAGATTTTTCGCTTCCCTTCCTCATCCTCCCTTCCTCTCTCCACTGCCCTCCAGCTGCCACTGCAGCACCATGTGGAATGAACGGAAGTGTGCTAAGCAGGTGTTTATATAGCCCTAAGAGTGTTATCACAACTATCTGCTACAAAACATTGATATCTCAAATCCTGTAAGCTACCCGATTTGTTAGCGGTTTGTTTATCCCATGAGCTTCCTTCTCACTCACTTCATTTTGCGGACGGACACACATACATACACGCACACACACACACACACTCACACACACACATACAGATACACAAACCGACACACAAAGTTAGCGCTTTATAATATAGTAGGATTTATAATTTCTAACTCCCTTTATTTTTGCAAACTTTGCGCTTGATATCACCAACAGAGATTTACTCTCAATAATGTATTAGGGTATGGGTGAAGCATTTCTGTCCACGATACAAATTGATATCAAATTTTTCGCCAAGTATAAACATTTCCTGTCGACTGCTGTCGTTTATCACGCGGATGGCCCACGGGACAAGTTCCTAGTCCTATATCGCCCCAAACCAACATGCATTCCATCACTACAACTTGGTTGGCTGGTTCTAGACTTTCCTTGCGAAACAAACCGCGTAATTTATATGCACATATCTCCCCGGCCGCTGCAAGCACCAGTAAAACCTTATCAAAACGTTTATGAACTTCTGAGCACTCATGGCCCAATTCTTTGGAAATCGCTTGACTAGCTAACTTCATTGACGATTGCCCCGTCCTTTTTTTAGTCTTGCTTACGCGCAGCGTCAGCGAACATGTTCATCCTGCCCGGCACATTGCCGTGACATACATAACGCACATTTTCACTAAACTTATTGCGTATCAAAGACAACAATATCGAACCAAAAAGGGTTAAAAAAGCGTACGCGTCAACTTTGTTTGCAGTACCAAGAGCCGCGTCTAGCCCACTGAGTGTGTAGTGAACCATGTCATTGCTCCAAGCTTATCACAGCCGCTGGATATCCGCCCTTTTCGCGTCATTCCTATAATGTTTACGGCATATCTGACATGATTTAGGGTTCGCTATAAAAAAAAATCGCCATAAGAACGCGCTCTTTCGGAGTCTCATCCATCCGCTTTGATACTCCTATTCGAGATCAGGAAACGTTGGACTGAGCGGTCAGTCTCGGATCAGCTTCCACTAGTCGAATCGCGCATGACGTAACTGGCCTAAATATATCCCCTTTATATGCGTCTATTTATAAGCATCAGCGCGCTAGCTATTCCATATGGTTTATTGCAGACGGTATAAGTCAAGATCAAAACTAACCATACTGACAAGTCTCGTATCGAACCTTACCTGATTATTGACAATGCATAAGTATCCAAACAACGTCAACCCATCTATGCTTTGTTTCCCACGACCGCATAGGGCGCAATTGCAGAATCAGTCGTAAACCTGACGGCAGTCTCCAGAAAATCGATATCGCGTGTGTTTTGTTGTGCCGAGCGTTGTGCGTGTTGTGTTTTTTTTATGTTCGTGATGGTACGCGTGTTGCTCGGTCCGCAATCACGACACTCTCGCTAATGTTTCGTACCTGCGGACTTGAACTGGGCTACCGTACCACCCAATTTAGAATCAATCGATAATCAAAGACGTGTTCTGCAGATTTATATGAATGTGCGTCCGCTATGCATTTCGATTCATTGTGATAGCAGCTGTTCTATTTTGTACATGGTATTCACTGACTCGTAACATTCCACACATACGTACATGCGCCAATCTACCGTCACCGCTCTATGTTCATCCGGTAAGTGAGAGCGCAGAGAAGCAGGGTGCAGGAACTTTTCTGCGTCTCTGCCCAGTGTGCTTCTTTCATTCCTCAACGCCAATGGTTTGATCAGCTTGTTTTGGAAGCCAAAAGCTGCTTTCCAGATACACTCAACCAGCGACTTGCCGGCGGTGCCGCACGAGCCGCGCTCGCCGATTACGCCACGAATTCGTCTTCTGCCTCATTCGTTGTGTGAAACAAATGCGACCGTCGTCTTTGTGATCCACTCGGATGTTCGCAACATTGTTCAACGACAATTCCAGAGGAAACAACTCGACGATGCCTGGCTGGAGACGGTTGGTCCAAAAATTTTCAAAACTTGGAAAAAAATTTGATTCAAAATTGAACTCAAATTCAGCTCAACGCTAGGCGTATCTTCGTCATTGGCAGTACTGCAGAACCCACTGACAAGTACGAGAAGGAGGCTGAGAAGTACAACGATTTAGTACAAGTGGACACGATCGAGCACTACCACAACATCACCGCAAGCCCGCTAGATGCATAATTTGCATTGCCTACCTAGAAGTAATTATTGGCATGGGTATTGATGAAGTCTTAAAGGCAGAATTCACGATGAAAATTTAGCTCATTAGAAATAAGGGTAGAGGTGTCAGTGGAACAGGGATGAAGAAGAAACCATTTGAAACGGCCCGAAACCCGAGAAATGGGACCCCTTCCTTGCTCGTTGATTTGCGCATTGATTGCGACTCTCATCGCTGTGCCCTCTTCAACAGTTCGCTCTCTCTGCTATCTAACTAACTCGTCACATAAGAGCCTGCAGGGCGAGTGCTTAGATGTAATTCGGTGGGGGCGTGGCCGTGTCCCGCCAATTCGCGGTTAAGCTGTAAGCCATAGGCCTACTGAGTGTCAATATCTTTGCCGCCTCCAATTGCGCGGCGGTAGCCGTCAGCCCCACCCTCAGGCGGAGAGCTTTCGCCCTGCTCACCCAAGCTCACGCGAAGCTCCCTCTTCCTTGACTTCCTTCTGGTATCGCCGGATGTATCACATACAACTCTGCGTATGGAGCGGAGATACACGTTGTGCGATGTTTCAGCTGACGGAGCGGTGCAAGTGTCGAGGTTCGCCCTGAATTTGTGGCTGCTTTTCAGGCTCAAGCGTGCGTTCAATACTGTCGTCATGCTCCGAAACACCACATGTTATCAAACTCGACGATGAAGTCATGGTGGATCGGGTTGGTGTGGGATACCTAGTTGACAGGTATGTCTACATTCTATCAAACGTGATTTCCTCTCCATTTTCTATCCACTCATGCCCCTGGGTCCAAATGTCTGCCAGACTCACATGAAAAACTTCTCCACAAATTCAAAAAAAAAATTAAAGGGCCACATTAGAGCAATAATCACATCTGGATAGGCCAGGTGTCTGTCTTCCCTGGGAATTTGTGGGACGGACGCCTTGGCGTCACAGGCAGCATTCACCTTGACCATTCAGGCCTGCCCTGCAGCCCACGCCATCATTGATCAAATGGAAGCTGATACAGTAGAAATGGTAGATACGGAATAAAGGGCAATTATTTCAGGTACAGTACATCGAGGCGAATCCTCGGATGTCGTGTGCTAAGGCATGGCAGTGTTGTGCGGACCCGAGCATCAAAAGGGTAAGCCGCAACAGAATCGAATTTATCTATTTCGAAAATGTAAAGTGAATTAATAGAACACAAGACTAAAGTGTGCGGCGCCTTCTAGTCGTTTTTGGAGTGCGCCACGCATGCGACTACAATTCACGATCGCAGAGCATTTCAATGTGTAAATTTCATTGACTTGAAGAGGTTCTCTCCCAGGGAAGCCGGTTAACCTTATAGCTGACCCACTGCAATTGAAGGTTTCGTTGGCATGAGCGGCGTCCAACATGGGTGCAAGGACAGACGCGGGCAGACAGAATGGCCCGCGAGAGCCTGTATCGAGCTTGTAGGGGTCTGCGAAGATCAGCCATCCATGAATTTCGTCCCCGGGTCCGTCTGTTTGCTACAGAAACTTGTTTGGGAGATCAGCAAAACCCTGAGTGAAACCAAGTATATCTTTAGCAGCTCATTGATTGAGTCTACTAAGCTGTCAAAAAAAACTACGATCTTGAATAAAAATAAATAAATAATAGTAAAAAAGAAAAAAAAAATAAATAAATGAATAGTAAGGGGCGCAAAACAGTGCCGCCCGATCCCTAAACGCGCCATGACTAAAAGAGGCTTCTTAACAGAAGGCAGCAATCCCCTATGCCCTCAAGCTAACCCACAGGGCTAACGGCAACCCCAGTCCCAGAACACCGCTACAGACTATTTGGGTGGGGGAGGGGCCTGAAGATTGCCTCCACCGTTTCGTGTCTCATAGCCGCGAAGAGACTGGCCGATCACACTACGCGTTCGATATAGGTGCGCGCGCTGAAGGCCAAAGGTCTTCAAATCGCAGCCCCAAATTCCATCGCAGTTTAGTTGACCGCTACGCAGCCCGCGCGCGACATTCATGTGCTGTTCGCACGTTCAACGTCCATCCCTACGGTTACTGAGATTAAAAAAGTATAAAAAAAAGTCTGCGGCACAACGGCACAAAAAAGCCATCGATGCGCTACCGAAAGTTGCTTCAGTCGAATTCGTCTTTCAAGTATCTCTGACCTCGGCACCTATTGCCAAGGAATGGCTTACGTATTCAGCGGTGACCAGTTACGTCATATGCGTGAGAACATTCCACGAGTACAATTCTTATGGGTGAGCTTTACGCAGCATTTCGGTTAGACTTAAACATGGTCGCGTTGCGTTTGGGCGCGAAAATCAATAGCCATATGATACAGTAATGCGCTGCTATGTCACGCTGAGTCGTCACTTCGACAGAGTGCATAGAAAAAGTATGCCAATTGATTGATTACACAATCAACCGTACCACACACACAACTTGCGAACAATTTATGATTTTCAAAACACACCAATAAAACAAAATAACAATGGACAACATATCAATCACACTACCTAGTTATATTTACATGAATACATTTGAAGCAAGCTACAGCTATCTCGGAACAAGACTATGTGTAAGAATACGAGAAGCAAACAGTTACCATATTTTTCACAATGAAAGCCAATGGCAGTTGTAGCGACCAAACGCCGAGTATGAACGCCGCCTAATCAGCGAAAAATCTTGAATTACTTGTAGATGGACGACTGGTACGTGACACGGGCGCTACTATCCGGCTCAAACACCACTCTTCTCGATCTCAGTGACCACTACTGCTCAACGAATTCCGACGAGGAACTACTCGTTTGGATGACACGAAAACAATCGCTACGCATTCCGCAACGCACCATATTTGGACATTTTCGACCTGCAGAAGAGTTGGTTTTACTTTATGAAAAAACCAATCGATCGATAAAACAAGTGAATTTTAGGTTCCCGCTGAAGCAATCAATACAACTGTGGAATGAGATCACCACAATGAACAACAGGTGCACCTAACACAGTGCTTGGAACCTACAGCCGACTTCATCGATTTTTGTAAATACATTCCCTTCCTGAAGCTTTCGAAATGTAAAATATTAAAATAAACAACATTACAACCGTTAAGGAGTACGTAACAAAATCGAAAATTCGAAAGCAATTTAGCCCAAAGCCAGGTCTGGTGACCTCAATCCAGGAATAAATCAGTGCAGTGACGCAGAGAACAATACCGACTTTTTTTCTCATCATCAACTCTAAAACAAGGAGGGTCTTTCAGGACATGGAGCGTTTTTTCAAAATGGTTTCTGAATGTTGTAGAGGCTCATGTGAGGAACACAGAACCATGGTCCATTTTTCCTGAACGCCCCAGGAATGTCAAAACAGCGGGGAAGAAATGGTCCAAAGTTCGATCCTCCGTGATGACAAATTTTTGCAATTTATGTTGGCGCCTCCAAATTGCCGCAAAACACGACAATGACATCTATCTTACGATGGCGCCATTTGGCGGCAATCTGGGCGCCAAACTATATTGCAAAAATTAGTCATCACCGGGGATCGAACTCTGGACCATTTCTTCACCACTGTTTTGACATTCCTGGAGGCGTTCAGGAAAAATGGATCATGGTTCTGTGTTCCTCGCATGAGCCCCTACAACATGCAGAAAACCATTTCGAAAAAGCGCTCCATGTCCTGAAAGACCCCCCTTGTAAGATAATGGATACCAAAATTACTTACGCCATAGGTGAGATCACAGTCTTCGACGATGAAGTCCATCAATTGCAGCTTGATTGTATGCGTCATGCCACTGACATCGTAGATATTTGAATAATTGGTTGGAAATCTCTACACATAGATGCATTCTAATAGCATCTGCTCAATATTTAACCACAGCGGATATTATAGCATTGTTATGACATCACTTGACAATATTTCGATACACAAAATAATGTTACAAAAATTAAATACGTCGATCATAGAGGGGTGGAGTTGTCTACAGAAAGAGCCGCTCCTCCCCCGATAAGACCTGAAGTGCTTGAAAGAAGCAGAGAATAGGACGCTGTTCTTGTCATTTGATCAGATACACCACATTGCAGACGTCATTGAGGGAGATTCTACAATAAGGTCGGAGGTCACGAGGGAAAATAACCAGCGCAGTCAAACAGCCAGCGGACCCCCTAAGAGTGCGGAGGCGATGCCGCTCTACTCGAAGAAATATGCACAGCAACCGCCTAGCCAGAGCTAGTACTTGGGCACCTCGCACCATTACCCGCCCACCTCTTCGTCATCATACTCCCGTTCAGCAGAGACAGCACTGTTGTTGAAGAGGGCAGCAACGACGCAAGTCGCATGAATCGAAACCAGAAATCAACGCGCAAAGAAGGGGGATCCCATTTTAGGGGTTCTGAGCTATTTTTCATTGATTATTCTTCATCCATGCACCAATGAGCACCTCGACTTTGATTTCTAAGGAACTGCCTTTTTATCGAAAATTCGATTCTCAAGAAAAATCACCTCACAGAAATTCAACGGCAGCCTGTGTCGCAGTGGCAGATCTACCACTGGACAACAAGCACTTGTGGAGATCCTCTCCGTGAGTGTTGTACAAAGAACTTTTTTGTGTGAAGGGCAAGTCTGCAGAATGGACAGTCTATGTGACAAGAGATTCAGAGCAGACAAAAGAGACTTGGAAAGGATAGAGCGCAGTGACAAGCGAAACGCAGACACGAACGTCTTCACAACGGTGGCCCACCCTTCACTGCTAAGCATTGAGTGCTCTGGTCGCGCTGTTTCGAATTTGAAGAAGTGCACACAACCATCTGCCCTATTGCATCGCCTTTTTATACCATCATTATTAAGAATATACAGCATATCTTAATATTGTTTAAGAATGCTAATAAATCGCTAATCGCCACTAACGGCTATCACGTCTTCTATACAGATGGTGAATCAACAAGTAAAGCTATAGATATTACAAACCTGCTGATCTTAATATACTTCACAGAATATTTGTTAAAAAACAGTTATTGTACATTTGGCAATCATATATTCAAACAAAACAAAGGAGTACCACAAGGAGGTAATTTCAGTCCCCTATTAGCTGATCTTACCCTCTCCGTCATGGAATACAATTATGCAATAAGTATAAGTTTAATAAAAATAAGTATTCATTCCATTCAGATATATGGATGATTTGCTAGTGATACATAACCAAACCGAAATGACATTGACATACAACTAGCAGAAGTGTATATGAATACACTTGAATTGAAGAAAACACATTTAAGTGAAACATCTAGTAATTATCTGGATTTAACAATAAGTATAATAAATGACAGAGTTATAACTAGATTGTATAACAAAACAGGATGATTTTCAGTTCAAGGTTATCAGATTCCCACACAATGACACAAATATCTCCATAAATAATAAAGGCTCCGTCATATACACTGAAACACTTAGAATAGCTAACACTTGTTCCGTTTTGACACATTTACTGATAAACTAACAGAGTTCATAAGAGTGTTACTAGGAAATGGTTACCATGAGGAACTTTATTATATCTAATATAGTTAAGTGCATTTATAAAAATAAGTTTATATGTTATAAATTCTCAATGGCTAATAATTATAAAAATGTTAATAAACTAGTTAAAGGAATACTCAATCAATAGCTTATGCTTAATTCAGTGGACAGCTACA